CCTCGAGTTTGCGATTGCTTTCACGAAACGTAGGATACAATCTTCTTTTACGTCTTGTTACGCTCCATTTACTTCGAGGAGAAGGCGAATGAAAACTGAAGAATTTTAAACAACTTCGTTTATACGCGCAGTATTGAAGAAAGTCATATTTCACGCTTCGAATCCCTTCGAGAAGATTTCAACGGCTATTTCAAGTTTTAATTTATGGATCATTTGTTACAAGGCACATTTTCCTGTACGACAGATAAAAGAAATATTACAGCGAGCAATCTTAACGATCTCCGAAGGCACTTGGGAGTAATTCGTAAGCATAAAAGAGCTGGTTGATTGCAGAAGTTTCGGTGAAAAGGACAGGGTGGAATTATATGGAGTTGGCTTTCTTTCGTGACGGGGACAGCTACTCCGCGACGTCAGAGTAAATCTCATAAAAGGGCTGTCCGTTCCACCGGACACTTGGTAGTTAATTTCAGCTGCATCCATCTATCTTCATCTGTGAAACAGGAACGTCCGATCGAGCTCGTCTCGCGTTCCGCATCGTTCACTTGTCACGAGATAAAGAATAGCTCGACGGGATATTTCTTCTTTAACCAGGCAAAACTGGGACCGGAACGTTCCCCGCTAAATCATCCGTTCAATTTATTAGCGGCGTCGAGGCGTTCGACGGTGGCCACTTTCGTGTAACGCGTGTACAATTTTGCCGGGAAACGAGATAGGAAGGCTGAAAGGGATTAAGTTGTGAATATGAAATCGTGCGGAGTTTCGAGCAGGGAAATATAGTCTCGAAAGGGCAAACACAAGACACATTGTACAGAGCGAAGCTCAAATCGGTTCACTCCGACGGAAGTGGAGTCGGAAGGTCATCTTTACTCGACGGGAAGTCGAGTATACCGCAATGCAGTTCGGGACGCCGCGTATCCCGTGTACTCTGCCCCATGTACTTCGTCTGAAACGTCGCTCACTCTGTACATATAATGTCACCGATGTCGTTACTCGCACCGAACTACGGAGGAGAGCGGTTGACCAACGTGGAAGGTAACTTCCAGCGTGGATAATCAGACCTGGGATGATCAACGTCGTTGAGTTGCAGTTAGAAAACGCGGAGGAGCCTCGGTTTGACGGATTATGGCTGTAAAATTCGTTGGTCACGTTCAGTCGTCAGACCTAGGTGACAAAATTCGCTTTGATACGTCATAAATTGTCACCCTTTGGATATTAATTCAGTGAATTGACGAAACACAATTCTGATCGGTAAGTTTATAAATTGTCATCATTTGAATATTAACTTGGTGAATTTGGGAAGAATCCAGGTAGAAACCTAGGTTTCTGCCATTTCTTGCATACTTATTCAGTCAATTGACAAAACAAAATTCGCATCGGTAAGTTTATAAATTGTCACCCTTTGGATATTAATTCCGTGAATTGGCGAAAACTGCAGTTTTTTAGGAAAAAGCCTAGGTTTTTGCCATTTCCTGCATATTTATTCAAGCTTATTCGTAACTTAGTGCTAGCTGATCCCCTAAGGCAAATAATTGTCCTCGTTCCATCTCCATTCCAACTGATCGACAAATAATAATCATTTTGAAAATGTACACATCACCAACTACCATCCTGTTCGGAGAATTCTGTTTCCTCTGAGACCTGTTCCATTCTATCCGCCACCAGTTACACATCAACCACATATAGTTCTGTTTCAAACACCGAGCGTTAAACATCAATCGTACACAGTTTCATCTCGAACTTCACTAGTCACACCTAGTCACTACGTTTCAAACATCCCTGTATTATACCACATGTGGCAATAGGAGCAAAATTGTCAGTCT